CCTCTTCTTTGTGGCAACCTCTGATATATTGGAACACTCATGTCTCCCTTACTCCTTCTTTTCATTAAACTAGACATACCCAGTTCCCGCAATTGTTCTTCATATGTTTTAGTCTCCAGTCTCCTAATCATCTTTGTTGCTCTTTTCTGCACTCTTTCTAGAGTCTCCACATCTTTTCTACATCTTGGCAACCAAAACTGAATGCAGTATTCCAAGTGTGGCCTTACCAAGGCTTTATAAAGTTATATTAACACTTCATGTGTTCTTGATTCTATCCCTCTGTTTATGTAGCCTAGAACTGTGTTGGCTTTTTTTTAGCAGCTGCTGCACACTGCTGGCTCAGATTTAAATGGTCGTCCACTAGAACTCCAAGATCCCTCTCACAGTTACTACTGTTGAGCAAGGTACCACCTATACTGTAGCTATGCATTTCATTTTTCTTGCCTAAATGTAGAACCTTACTCTTTTCACCATTGAATAGAGTAAGGTTCTACATTTAGGCAAGAAAAATGAAATGCACAGGTACAGTATAGGTGGTACCTTGCTCAATAGATGTTTTTATGTTTTATGTCTGTACTTGTTTGTTGAAAAATAAAAAAAATGTTTTGTTTTTTTTAAAAGAAAGTATTGGAAGTCTCACCACAAGATTTTTAAGTGTCATGAAATCTCATGAGATCTTACTTGCCTCATTCCTGGAAATTAGCTATTTAAACTTTAAATTAGCTATTTAAACTTTAGGGGTAAGTTGATCTTCGTTCAATTTGTGAGAAGTTGAGAGTATTATATGGGAATAGATCAGTAGATTCAGTCTACTGAGAATCTTATTTTTATCTAACAAAATGGATAAAGATAAGAAAACTACTGTCTACTTCTTAAATTATTAACATACCCAAGTAAAGCTATTCCCATACATCAGAAACACATCTCTTTTACAAAAACTAAATGCAGGCAGGAAATTTCTATTCCTGAAAAACAAACAGATTCTTTCATTTCACTCAGGGGAAAACAAGTACTTATGTTCAAAAAGCCTTATTAAAAGATTTTCAGTTCACTTTTGCTGCCTGTAATATTAATAATGCAACTGAGGCTTTTTCTACTTAGGAAAGTCTATCTGTATGCAAAATAATAGAAGACATGGGATTATTACTAAGCATGGCTTGCTATTTTTTATCTTCCCTTATTACTGTAGGAAATATACAAATATCCTTTACCAAATTGGGCTGATAAAAAGACTATGCAAAGGGTAAAATCCCTGTTGGAATATGTGGTAAATGGCGCTTTGGGGGGACCGTTAAAAAATAAGAAATCAAAACTACAAGGAGGCGAGTATTCTTTTAATTATGGGTTTATTTGTTTGGCCTGATTTTCAGATTTGTGAAAATATAAATATATGTCATAGTAGTAGCCTTGACATATGAAAATATAAAAAAATATTGTGCATTTTTTTCAAATGTCAATAGATTTCAGAGATCAACTTTCACTTAGGCATGTAAATATATGACCCTATTTAGCTCTTAATGTTGGTTCAACAAACTAATGATTAACTATCCTGTGCGGTCTTTTAATTTTCTTAAATATATATGTAGTTTTTATTAAGAATCAAAATTAAAATTTTAATTACAAAGTTAGCCACCTCATCCCATGGTGATGGATAATCACACAGTGACCTTATGTAGATGTTTAATAGGGGAAGAAAAAACACTGATCCCTATGGCATGCCATACAGTAGAGTATGAATCTGAAATCTATTTAAAAAATAAATTGCCTTATCATTATAATGTACTAAAGACAAATAGCAGAAATGTGTTTTGAAATGCTTTTCTAAAAGTATTTAATTATTTAAATGTAAATTATTTGGGGAAATGCATAATAAAAAACTAAACAGTACAGATAATGTTATTTATGAACAGATTTCTTTAAAATAACAAGATTAGAAGTATATATAAATACTTTTAAAATCTTATGTGCTGGTAACATTTCAACATGGACATTAATATTTCTATCTAAAGAAATATTTCTATATATTGACATATTAGGAAGTGCTTATCTTCATGGCATATATTTTTAGTATGTTGTAGTTTGATTGATACAATTTTTAAAATGCAGAAAAATATCAGTAAAGTTTTCCCACTAAAGATTTCTTTGCTCGCATTAAAAATAATTTAGACAATTCATATTCTTTTTAACTTAGAAACATATTACTTTTCCATATAAAATATAGCTTATTTGCTGTGGAAAATCTAGAAGCTTAATAAGTAGAATACTTTATCTTGCATGAATGTATGACTCTTGGAAAAATAAAGAGTAAGGTTTCATTACATTTATTTTCCAAATTCTTCAAAAAAAATAGGCCAAAATGCCTAATTAAATAAAAAAAATCAATTTTACATAGTCAATACATTTCATACAGTCTGGAAAGATGTTGGTTAATATGAAGATATTTTATACCACAAAGAATTTCAAACTCACCAAATTCCTGACCAAGTCCTTTTTCCATATTTTTCAAAACTTCTATTTTCAAATTCCACAACACTCTATTTTTTTTTTTTTATCTTCATGAAGGTATCCTTGTGAAACATATTCTGGAAAAAATGACAAGTGCGATTAACAACAACGGACTTAAAATGATCATGTATTCAGCAGTAAGTATAATCATTTATACCACTTAAGAGCTATGCAGTTTACAAACTCTTGCTTTGACACAGCCATTCTTATTAATAATATATTAATATTCTGCAGCATAGTCCTTGTCAGTTGAAAGAATTGGCATGATCTCTAACTTTCTGGTGACTAATTACGAAAGAGATTATAAAATATATACAAATATCAAAATTTAATATACATGGCTGAATAATAGTATAAGGGCTCCTTTCCTAACTTAAGAAAGTGAAGACTCTTGAAACAGAGTATTTCAAGAATACTTGAATAGTATTAATACTTGAATAGTATTAATTAAGAAGGATGGGAACCATGAAAGGCAAAGCAACATCTGAATCCCCTTAGGCAATGCAAGTAGAATTAAAGCAGTAGTACCCCTCCCATTTGTTAGAATGCAAATTCTAACCAATACACACGTGTGAAAATGTTTCCTTTATCAACTGCTCTGAGAGCCGAATAAACATACATTCCCATGGCTATCTTCCATTAGGCATTAAAGTGAAATGTCCCACATGGCCATCATAAACATCCCCCCAAGAGGTGATGGGATCTCAGGCATTTTGGTGGCAGGAAACCAGTTGTAAAATATCAGTTGACACAGGCACTGCCAATAAATTGAATCCAAGGCCCCCCCCTCCTCCCAATTGAATGGCAGTATCACTTTTAGGGATCTGACATGCTGCAGTTCTTTGGAAAAAGGAGAGATCCACCTGTAGAGAGATAGAAACAGAAATTCCATCATAGTATTTTAACAAGGTTTGTCAGGGTATTGGGAGTGAATTTTTTTCAATAGGGTAGGAGTCCTAACATGGTGTTTAGCTACCCATTCATTTTGGGATGACCCCTCTGTGGGTCCTTGAGTCCAGGATTTCCTTAATTTGAAAGTGTTGTTTGCCTTCTATCATGATAGGAACAGGTGGTGTAGGTGCAGGTGGTCTGAGTTGTGAGATTACTTCTTCTTTGAGTAAACTAATGTGAAATAATGGGTGAACTTGCCTGAGTGTCTTTTGAAGGAGTACTTCTACTGTTACTGGGGTGATAACTCTAGTGATAGGGAAAGGTCCAATGAAATTTGGCCCTAATTTCTTTGATGGCTGCAATGACTTCAGGAATTTTGTAGATAAGTAAACTNGGCAGTAGGGGTTTGCTGTAACTCTGCTTTATAAATTTTATAAAGTAAAGTTACTTCCCTACTTTATAAATCACCATTACTGTGGAACTGCTGAGTGGTTAGAAAATTTTACTACTAACAGAGATACAAGGTTCACCAACAAAAAGGCAACTGACAAAAGCGCACCCAACGAAACCGCTGTGATAAAACCACGAGTCCTAAACCACGCCGCCGAATGAGCGCTGAAGCACACTGACAACAGTGCGCCGACAGAAGCGCGCTGTAACCCTAACCCTAATCCTAATCCTAACCCTAACCCTAAACCTAACCCTAAACGTGACCCTGACCCTGATCCTAACCCTTACCTTAACTTAAATTGCATTTCTGTCGGCACGCTGTTGTCAGCAGGTTAATGACATTGCGGTTTTAGCACTGTGGTTTTGCAGGCACGCTTTTGTCATGTGCGCATTGGTCGGGTCACGGAGATACAAAAGTGGGTGGTAGGTATAAAAAGGTTGACTACCCCTGTTCTATAGGGAACAAAGTTATTTAGATTTCTTTTAGTATGGTTTAATAACAGGTAGTAGGAAGAATTGTTAAAATAAAAAGGAAGGTTTTAATCCAGAAGTCAAAAAATAAAGCAACAAGAAACAGCATTTTTAGTATTTTTTAACTACAAGTTTGAATCAGTAGTAAAAAAATACTTTAAAAAGATTTTTTTTAAGTTTCAACAATTGTATGGCATAGCTGATTGTCGCACAGCTGATTGTCCACACTTTTATTTTTACTTTGTTTAGCATTTTTTAACTACTGGTTTGAACCAGAAGTAAAAAATTCTTTAGAAAGTGTTTTTAAAAGTTCCAATGGTGGCATGGCACAGCTGATTGCCACACAGAGGATCATTGGACTTTTTAAAGCATTTTTTAACTACCAGTTTACTGGTAGTAAAAAAATGCTAAAAAAAGTTCTGATGATCATGAGGCATAGCTGATTGTTGGAACTTTTTTAAACTGTTTTTCAGGATTTTTTTTACTACTGGTTCAGATGAATTGGCCCGAACTGGTAGAATTTCACTCTTGATTTTGCTCCATTTTACAAGCTTTCTTGCCACAGTTGTTAAGTGAATCGCTGCAGTTGTTAAGTTGATAACACAGTTGTTAAGTTAATCTGGCTTCCCCATTAACTTTGCTTGTGAAAAGGCCACAAAAGGTGATCACATGACCTTGGCACATAGCAACAGTCATAAATATGAACCAGCTGCCAGGCATCTGAATTTTGATTACATGATCATGGGGCTGCTGCAAATGTCGTAACTGTGAAAAATGATCATAAGTCACATCTTTCAGTGCTGTTGTAACTTTGAATGGTCACTAAACAGTTGTAAGTCATGGACTATCTTACTTAAGAGTCAGATCTACTGAACTATGTGGGATTTACTTTTATTAAAATATGCTAAGGATGAAAGGGATTGACTATCAGAAAATCTGGTAGGGATTGACTACCTTTGGCCTAACTAAACAGTTATGGGAAAGCTGAGGGCCCCTATATCAGAGGTGGTATTCAGCGGGTTCTTATCAGTTTTGGAGAACCGGTAGTGGAAAGCTTGAGTAGTTCAAAGAACCAGTAAATACCACCTCTGACTGGCCCTGCCCTCATCTATTCTCTACCTCCTGAGTCCCAGCTGATTGGGAGGGAATAGGGATTTTGCAGTAACCTTCCCCTGGAGTGGGGTGGGAATGGAGATTTTACAGTATCCTTCCCCTGCCACGGCCACCAAGCCATGCTCACCAAACCATGCCCACGGAACCGGTAGTAAAAAAATTTGAATCCCACCACTGCCCTAGATGGATATGGCCACATTACACAAGTGAATCCACTGATTTGGAAAGATAATTTAGAAAAAAATATTTTGTTTAATGTTGGGGCTTATTCAATATTTGTTCTGTTTAAACCTGAAACAATAGTGTCACAGAAATGAGACTGAAGAATAATGGGGTATCCATTGAAGTCATAGGTGACTGAAATAGCTGACTTTTCTACGTTTACCTTTTTATGGTTAAGAAGTTTGAGATATTAACTGCACCATACGTTCACAGTGTAATGCTTTACTATTTTGACATTTTTCTTTCTATTTTAGCATGATATGACAATCATTGCTCTGCAAATAGCACTTGGTGTTTACAACAAGTTATTACCTCCTTATGCTGCCACCCATATTTTTGAGTTATATGAAGAAGACAATGGGCAAGTATTAATTCACAGATATGATAAATAACTATGATTTACTGAGTAAGATTTTGCATACTGTAAATATATCCACATTGAAAATTTCATTTCATTTTTCATTTTATTTGTCTTGTATGCCACCCACTCCCGAAGGACTCCGGCGGCTCACAACAGACAAGGGAAGGGGGATAAATAGACAAAGACAACACTTTAAAAAAGACACAACATTAACAATTTCCGTGGGGCTGGATGTTTCACAAGCCCCCGGCCTGCTGGAGCAGCCAGGACTTGGTGGCTTTGCGGAAGGCCGGGAGGGTAGTAAGGGTCCGGATCTCCANTCAGGAATAACTTGGCTAGACTTTTGGCAGTTGGGATTGTTTGGCAAGGTATAAAATGTGCCTGTTTTGAAAACAGGTCTGTTACAACTCAAATGACAGTATTCCTCACACTTTCTGGTAGTTCAACAATAAAGTACATAGCAATCTCTTTCCAGGGTGCTGAAGGTTCAGCTACCATCTGTAACAGTCCTGGGATTTTCCCTTGATATCTTTTAGGTACCACACAAATAGGGCAGGTAACTACATAGCTCTCTATCTCCTTTTTTTAGTGATGGCCACCAAAATTGCCTTTTAATTAGGTGTAAAGTTTTCATAAAACCAAAGTGTCCAGCTAATTTGGAGTCATGGCACCTTGCCATTAAGTGCAGTCCTTGGCTAGCTGGAACATACAACTTCCCTCCCACCCAAGCTAAATTATCTTTCAGCAGCAGCTGGATTTGTGGCTCAAAAACCATTCATCAGTGGCTAAAGCTTGCCTAAAAGTTTGGCAGTGTCATTGTCCATCAAAGTTTCTTATTTTGCCTGGGAGCTGGTGGTTACTTTAGTGGCTAGTTTATTGTTTTGTATCATGAGTTTGATTACATTTGGCTTCATACTATTGTATTGTAGTTTTCTGGATAATGTATCTACCAGAAAAATCCCCCCCAGGAAATATCTGAGCGTAAATTCAAACCATTTAAAGTACTGAGCCCATTATACTTGTTTTGGGGAGAGTTTATTTGGGGTCTTTAGAGCTTCTACATTTTTATGATCTGTCCAGACTTCAAAAGGGATCTTACTCCCTTCTAGGAAATGCCTCCAGGTTAAAAGAGCCCACCAAACTGCATAAGCCTCTTTCTCCCAAATGGCTCAGATTCATTCAATTTTTTGATGTGTAAGTGCATGGTTGTAATTGATCATGCTCATTTTTCTGAAGTAGGACCACTCCTATAACCACATTGCTAGCATCTGCTTGTATGGCGAAGCGAATGGTTTCTCTGTGTCTGGATGCTTTAGAATGGGTTCTGCTGAAACTGCTATTTCAGTTTTTCAAATGCAGCTTAGCATTTCATTGTCCAGTTCAAAGGCTGCTTTGGTTTCGGGTTACCTTCCCCCTGCATTTTAAAAGCTTGATGATGGGGAGAGCAATCTGAATGAAAGCAGGGATAAACTGGCGGTAAAAGCGTGGCACGACATAACCGCGGTAGACCAAAGCGTGCCGACAACACCGCGGCGCTAAAACCGCGATGTCAAAAGCGCGCCCACAGAAGCGCGATTTAACTTAAGGTAAAGTTTAGGGTTAGGTTTAGGGTTAGGTTTAGGGTTAGGTTTAGGGTTAGGTTTAGGGTAGGTTTAGGGTTAGGTTTAGGGTTATTTTTAGGGTTATGTTACAGCGCGCTTCTGTCGGTGCGCTGTTGTCAGCGCGCTGTTGTCGCACGGTTTTGACGGTGCGGTTTTGTCACCGCGCTTTAGTCACACGCGCTTTAGTCTACCGCAGTTTTGTGGTGGAACCGGTAAAAGTTGGCAAATCCCAGGAAGCTTTGTAACTGTTTACGTGTTCTGGATGGTTCCCAGTCAAGAACCGCCTGAATCTTTAAAGGATCCATTTCTATGCCCTGGTGTGAAATGTGATACCCTAAGTAATCAATTTTCTCTTGGTGGAATTCACATCTAAAGAGTTTAGCATAAAGTTTGGCAGAGTGAAGTTTGTTCAGAACTGCCCGGACTAGTTTTACATGTTCTGCCTTGGTCCCAGAATATAACAAAATGTCATCTAAGTATACCAAACAGCCCTTATATAAATGCTCCTGTAACACTTTGTTTATTAATTGCATAAATACTGCAGGGGCCCCTTGTAGCCCAAATGAAATTGATAGCATCCAAAAGGGGAGTTAAATGCCATTTTCCATTCATCTCCCTCCTTAATTCTGATGTGGTGGTAAGCCTCCCTTAAATCCAGCTTTGAAAAAAAAATCTCTTTGGTGAGGTGTGCTAGCATGTCTTTCATAAGGAGAAAAGGTACATGTTCTCCACACTGATAGCATTTAAATTTCTAACACAAAGATGTTTTCAACCATCTTTTTTTTCTCCAAATAACACTGAGGCTGCAATTTTTAGTCGGGCTGGCTCAATGAAACCCCTTGCTAGGTTTTTCTCAATGAATATCCTCAGTTCTTCCAGCTCCCTCAAGGACATGCTATACATTTTGGGTTTAGGGAGTTTGGCACTGGGTAGAATTTCTATCATACAGTCAGTGGAGCAGAGGTGGGGGGGGGGGACTCGTCAGAGGCTTTTTCGCTAAAAACCTCAGACAGGTCTTTGTATTCTTTGTTATGCCCTGGGTTGGCATAATGTAACTGAGCATTGCTGTTTCTTGGTGCTCTGCCCCCTGTTTCTTTGTGGATTCTCAGCAAAAGTCACATCATCTGCACTCTTATGGTACCTTGCTTCCAATTAATTTGGGGGTTCCATTTTTTCAGCCATGCAAGACCCAAAACTAGTGGCCATCCCATGCCAGGCACCACTATAAATGTAAGTATTTCTTCATGGCTTCCGATGCCTATCTGGAGTGGCTCAGTGGCAAATGAAGCTGGCTCCCCCCCTGCTATTGACCCATCTAATTGGCAAAAAGCTATGGGACTTTTCAACTTTCTTACATTAATCCTCAACTTTCTTACCAGCGTTGGGCTGATCAAACAGCAGGTGCACCTTGAGTCCACTAAAGCAGATATTTTTATTCCCCTCTCCCAGTTGCGTATAAACAGTCTTAGGGGGAGGGTAAGCAGTTTAATTGGCTTGCTTACCAATGGTTCATCCTCTGGATGGCTTCCGGGGAAGTATGGTTCCTCCTGCTGAGAAGCGGGGTTTCCTCCTCAAAGAGGGGAGCGGATGGAGATTCTATGATCTTCCTGCTCCTCAGGAGCATTTCCTTCCCACGTTGGCCAAGTTTCATAGGTTTCCTCCCCAATGGGCACTCTGGTTTCCTAGCTGGTACTTGAGAACAGCATTCTGCAGCTCGATGCCCCTCTTTTCCACACTTGAAACAGGCTGAGGGTTAGGAAAAGATGCCATTTGCAGATTGAAAGGCTCTTGCTTCCAATGGGGTGGGGCTTTCTTCCACATTTGCCCCACTCGGTACTGGTTCCTGGCTATGTCGATCTCTGCCTCTTCAGCAGTGAGATACCACTCATGTAGATGGTTTGGCGCATCTCGGGCCACGCAGGCATTGTAGAGGTCATCACTCAGCCCATCCTTGAACCAGCTTACCAGGATATCTTCTGGCCAGTTCACACAACACGCCAGGGCTCGGAATTCTTCGGTATATTCTGTCACTGGCTGGCATCCCTGCTTCACCACTTTAATGTGGTCACATTCTTTGCGGTATGCGAGGGGGTTCTCAAAATGTTGTCACTGGGCCATCATGAAATAGTCGAAGTCCCACAGTTCTGGTGCATTGGCATCATGTAGGGTCACCATCCATCTGGCAGCAGTTCCTTCCAGTGCTAGGGTAACCACTCACACTTGGGATTCTTGGGTTTGAAAATCACACCCATATTCTTGCATGTAGGTGAGCACATGTGCCACAAAGAATCCCAATTTTTTCAGGTTCCCATCAAACGTCACCCCAAGAAAGGAATTTTTCTTTCTAATTGCAGGTTTCGGGGTTGGTTGGGAGCGGCCCCAATCCATGCACCAACAGGGGAGGAGGGTTTGCTGGGCTCCTTGCTGTTGATGCTGCACCATCCACTTGATCAGCAGGACCCAGAGGGGGGTTAGCCCCCCCCCCCCAGCATCATCTATGGCTTCTGCCCTTCCAACGCCTCTTGTTTGCCATTCTGGCTCCCTTGGATGTTGAGATTTTTCAAAATCTCCATCACTAACTGGGTTACACATTTCTTCAGATGATCCTCTCTCAGTGAGGCTTCATTTAGCTCCTCCTGGTCAGAGGGGGCGTCTAGCTCCAATTTCCACCCCGGTTTTTGGTTACCACAGGTAAGAGTGACTCCTCTGGTCCTCCCATCTCAGCTGTCTTTTGTCCCGATGCCGATTGACCAGAGGCGATTTTCGGTGCCCTCCAGGTTCACTTCATCCTCTCTGACAGGGTACATAGAGCAGGTCTCCAGTTGGGGGGATTGCCGTCTCCCTTCAGCATTCAGCTTCCCTTTGTTCACTGTTGTGCTCGGACATGGTTTGCAAGGTCCCCTCATTAGAGCAAATGTTGTCTCGCCTAGTTGACCATTTTTCAGAGATGTTGCTTTATGTAAGGGCTCCTCTCCTAACTTAAGAAAGTGAAGACTCTTGAAACAGAGTATTTCAAAATGAACCTTTAATTAAGAAGGATGGAAACCATTAAAGGCAAAGCAACATCTGAATCCCCTTAGCCAAATCAGTAGAGACTCCTCCCATTTGTTAGAATGCAAATTCTAACCAATACACAAGTGTGAAAATGTTTCCTTTATCAACTGCCCTGAGAACTGAATTCATACATTCCCATGGCTATCTTCCGTTAGGCATTAAAGTGAAACATCCCACATGGCCATCATAAACATCCCCCCAAGAGGTAATATCTCAGGCATTTTGGCGCCAGGAAACCAGTTGTAAAATATCAGTTGACACAGGCACTGCTAAAAATTGACTCCAAGGCCTCCCTCCTCCCAATTGAATGGCAGTATCACTTTTAGGGATCTGACAAATAGTCTT